GTTTAGGGTTTAGGGTATTGGGTTTTCGGTTTAGGGTGTTGGGTTTAGGGTGATACCAGCGTACCCTGAACCCTAAGTCCTTGCGTCACCCAGGACAGTGATGCTCAGGAGGGCAATGCGGGCGAGGCGCGTCGTCCAAGCAGTTTCAAGAGACCCAACATGGTGTTTATTCAAGCGTTTTTGGGACGGCGTTTTTTCGAATATTTTTTGTTCAGGGCCTATAGGGTTTCGGGACCCTTTCTTGGGTTCAAGGATTATGCAAGTTTGGGTGTTGGATGTTTGGCACTGTTCTATGCGTTCCTGGACTGCTGGAGAGTTATCGGGGCGCTATAGTTTTGCACGCCAGCGGCGTTTCAAAAGAAGGCCCGGGGCACAATGCAATGACTCAAGCGAGACCTGCAGTTCTGGATTTCGGGTTTATGGGTTTAGTAGGTTCGCGTTTAAGTTCTCTGAACCCATTCTAAGCCACCTAAACACACAAAAAGTCGGAACTCTGAGCTTTCAAAACACCTGAGCCCTAAACCTATAACCTGGAGAGCAGGCTGCCGGGCCCCCTCCGGGCGCCGTTCTGAGACATTGCGGGTTTTAGGCGTCTCAAAGGCTCATAGGAGTCTTTCAGTGCCGGGCTGACACAGGTCAGGTTAAGAGTAAGGGTTTAGGTTAGTGAGGCTTATTGACGAGAACTGTGGGGGTTTAGGGTTTAAGCCTGAACTTTAAACCTTGAACCCTAAACCCTAAACCTTATAAACCCTGAACCCTAAAACCCTAAAACCCTAAAACCCTAAAACCCTAAAACCCTAAAACCCTGAAACCCTACACCCTAAACCCCCTAAACCCTAATTGCGTTAAAGGGGGGTTATGGCTTTGGGAGCTCAGAGGCTTTGATACTTCAGACCCGTGGGATCCAGAATCGTAGCCGCTGAGTGGTTCCCCTAAAGGGTTCCCTTTGAAAGGTTCCTAAACCCTAAACCCTGAACCCTGAACCCTAAACCCTGAACCCTAAACCCTGAACCCTAAACCCTGAACCCTAAACCCTGGACCCTAAACCCTGAACCCTGAACCCTAAAGCCTAAACCCTAAACCCTGAACCCTGAACCCTAAACCCTAAACCCTGGACCCTAAACCCTGAACCCTGAACCCTGAACCCTAAACCCTAAACCCTAAACCCTAAACCCTAACCCTGAACTCCCTAAACCCTACGGCCTGATTTTCCATGGGACTTCCTGGCTTGCAGAGGCTTTCAAGTTAGTCATAGTTGGTGGTGCACGGCAGGTTAAGAGTAAGGGTTTAGGGCATTGATCGTTCTTTGGTTTCGGCCGCAGTTTGCCGCAGTGAAACCTTCGAGCGTCTCAGGCTTTGTTGGCCCGCCGCCGGGTGCCGTTCTGAGTGATTACGGGGTTTAGGGCTTTGTTGGGTTCAGAGGAGTCGTTTGGTTGCGGTGTGGTGCAGGGCGGGTTAAGAGTAAGAGTAAGAGCTTATATACCATCTAACTGTTTTAGGGGGGTTTGCCAGAATCTGCCAGCGTGCAACCCTGAAATCCTGAAGACTCCGACCCTCAGGTCTTTGAGCTTATGCTCTGCGGGATCGTGCCTTGGTGATGCCCTGAGCACTGTTTCAACAGCTGCAGCTTCAGTAGGGTCTGCAGTGGGTCGAGCGGCAACGTATTCAGCCGATTCCGTGCGTGTTTTCTGGAATTGGCTTGCTCAGTCAGCGCTCCCTTCCAGAAACGGACAGATTGAAATCAGTCCATCCCATTACAGCTTGGCTTCTGCACCACTGCCATTGCGGCGAAAGAGCTTGAACACGTGCTCCGGCGATATTGCAGCATGTAGCACAAGTCATTCTCAAACGGTAAAACATTCTGTCCTTAAGCAGAGCGAGCTCTGTCGAGGTTGGTGGGCCGCCGTGAACTGCCTCGTCTCCTTCGATCCAAAGGCGCTCGACGAGATCCCGCAATCACGGGTCTGCATCGAGTTGGCCGGAGCCTCATGCGAAAAGGCGCACTAGAGCAGCCACGCGCTCGACGAAGGACCTGTGCGCGTGTAGCAGTGAGGCCGAGTGCTCAGGTGGAGCTGAATATTGCTTGTTTTATGATAATGTCTACGCTGGGCAAGGAGTCCGAAGCAGCCGACCGGAAGGTGGCGCGAGCTGCTCGCCAGGCGAAGGCAGCTGCAAAGAAGCGCACGGAGGAGGACAAAAGGCTTCTTGCCAAGGCGGTGCAGTGGGAGAAGGCCGGGTGGCCCCACGCAGGGCCGCTCGACGTTTCGACCCATGTCATGTCTAGAGTAATCATTTGCGCGTTCAAGGAGCACAAGGCCAAGAAGCAGTCCGAGCGCGCCCGCCTCAAGAAGCAAAGGGCCGACCTCAAGGAGCGGGACGATGACGAGGTGTGGGGAGTGCGGAAACCTCCACTTCTTATTGCCCATGCGAAGTCCTGTTTTGGGTAGGCCGCAGCGAAGCTGGAGAGCATCCGGGAGCGGGACCGGAAGCGCCAGAACACTTACCGCGACAAGCAGCGGAAAGCCAACCAAGCTGCGCTGAAGGAGGCGGAGCAAAGGGCGAAGGGAGTGAGGAACTTTCCGCATCAACAGATGCGTATGGAAATGATCGTGAAGCATCTCTCTGAGCATCCTTGAGTCGTTTGCTTGAGTCATTGAGCTGTGTTCCACACAAACTCTATGGAAGTCGGACTGCAAGTCGAAGCCAGAAAGCTCTGCCAAATCTCAGTGCTTCAGCCAGCTGCTAACTACCCATGCACTGAAAATCAAGCAAACGCGGGATACAAGTGATCATGTCGCAGATGAACTCCTGTCAGAGTTTCCGAACGCAGGGGACCAGACCCTGAACGGTAGGGATTGAAGGTTCTTTGCTTTACGTTGGGATTTCGGGTGTAGAGGTTAAGCGCTTTTCGCGGAAGGGCACGCCAGGCTTCAGCAAGAATCGATAAGCAGTGTGTAGTTTCCGTATCCCTAAACCGTGGCTCATCGTCCAGAACTTGGTTCAACTTCGGCGTGTTCTCGGCTCTGAGTCTGTGGCGTTTTGGGTTCGATTGCTCCGAGGGTTTTGTTTTGCAACCTGCTACCCTTTCTTCGCTCCTACATAGTTCTGGGCCCAGTGGGGAGCAAGACCGGCCATGTCGGAGCAAGCTGGGATGCAGCGTGCAAGAGACAGGACGGCCTTCAAGCATGTTTAGATGGTAGGTGGCCAGAAACCAAAAGTCTAAACCCGAAAGAGCAAGCTTGAGACAGGACGCGCTCCACCAGCGGCTCACCTTCTTCTGAGGCCAGCCTGGGACTGGTGCAGTCGCAGCTGCAGAGCGCTGCTGCTTCTTGACTACTTGCAAAATAGGCGCGAAAGAGCTGCCAGTTGAAGGGCTTGGGTACTCATCTTGCGCGCTTCGAATGCTTCGAATGCTTGACAGCGGTTTTTGCGACACAAGCCCAGGGAGAAAGTCAAAGCAAAGCGGAGCATTCTGCAGTGCTTCGAGTGCTTTCTGATTTTGCCCTAGAATGCTGCCAGGGCACTTGGCGTGCGGCGCAAGCTGACAGCTCAGGGCCTTTTTGGGTTTGGAGGCTTTCGGGGGCCTATATAGGGGTGGCTACTCTACAGAGTTTGCGGCGCCTCTATTTCTATAGTTGAGGTTGTTCTGTATTTGGGCCCCCCCTGCCCCGAATTGAAGCTGAACCTTTCTAGAAGGGCCCGGCGTTTGTGAACTCTGACACTCGGGCCAGGTTGAGGCTTTACTGCAAGGCCCAGCATCTGGGTTTGCGTCAGATACGGCTGTAAGGGCTGGCTCAGAACCAACACGCACTCCCTCCTCTCACCACGCCTGAATTCCACATGTACTGTTAGGCAGGTTAGACGTTGGAAGTGCGTCGCTAGTGAAAGTTTGCAGGTTTTCGGATAGAAGTGGCTCGAGCTTGAAAGAAGCCCATTTCGAAGGGCTTCTAGGCATAGGCTCACCGTCAAGGTACTGGCCCTAAAGTCTCGGATCTCCCGTTTTGAAGCAGACTATTGCGAAGACCCACCGCCCGATGTTGCAAATCGAGGATGCACCTGGATGCCTGCGACGCTCGGCGCTCGGCAAACGGAAGCTGTCTCAGGTACTAGGATGGCTTCATTCCGGTTGAGCGTCGGGTTTTGAAGTTATAAGACTTTCCGAGTTTTTAGGTTGAGTTGTAAGGCCAGGCTTTCCTCACAGTTCGATTCAAGTAAACCACAGCTGCAGCTTGCAAAGGCTACAAGAGGCTTTGAAACAATGTAGCACAAAGCCCTATGTCTGAACCCTAGTGCATCATTCACCTTCGGCGCCTCTCTTATATGCGTATACAAAGAATAACTATGCATATGCATCATTCATGTGTGTTCATACGCATCAAAACATACAGATATGTAGTTCAACATGAATCTGAATGATATGCTTCTTGCCGAATTAGTTCTCCAAAGACTTGACTTCGACCCTCAACTCAGCAGAACACTCCCCAGCCCCACCTCCACCTCTTGGGGTTTGGACAGTTCTCAACGCTGTACGCTCGAGTTGAGAGGAGGATCAGATGTACTGGCTTGGAATTTTACAGGGTTTAGGGTGCAGGGTGTAGCATTGAGGGCGCTGTGCGACTTTGAAGAACACGTTCGCTGTGGCTCAGGCACGCCCAAAAACCTGACCAGCCAAGGACGCCAATGGACCAACCTCCAAGCCAACTCCTCACCTTTCAGACTCTGAGCACAAGTCTTCTCCAGAACCCTACCCCACCCAGAGACCTCCAAAAGAAATCACGCAAGCTGAGCGGCGCGGCTTGCAGGGTCACTACACCCAGACTCTAAGCAAATCTTCTCCTCAACCCCTCCTCAGAACCTTCCACCACAAAAAGCTTGACGTAAGCCCTAAACGCTAAACCCGAAATCCGAAACCCTAAACCCTAAACCCTCAACCCTAAACCCTAAACCCCGGGTTCACTACACCCGTAATCGGTGATGCAGCCGATGCGCCTTCGCCGGTGATGGCCCGTCGCAGTGGCGCTGAGGCGGCCGAGGTCCACGCTCCCATGGATTGCAGAGGGAGGTTGAGGGTGTAGGATTTAGGGTTTAGGGTGTAGGGCCGTACCAGAGTAAAGGACCCTTATATGAGTTCCTTTGTTCCTTTTCTTCTGGTACCTCAGAATTCGTGTTCATATTTCGAGTACCAACCACAGTGGGTGTACGCGTACCATCACAAAAAGCATTTTGAAATTAGTAGGCATGCGGCAACTGGGGACGGGGATTGTCTGAGTAAATGCGCGGTAGATTGGGAAAAGAGACTCTCTCTCTCACAACTGCTGAGCCATATTAGACGAGTTGGTATAAACGGTATAGACAGCCCACTAATGGACCTGGAGGTATCTGATCCCTGAGACCCGTGAGCTTCTCATTCAGGCGGCGGGCTATGGTGCCGACAAGCTGCAAGGGAGGCCCGGATTGCGCAAAGATGTACCATGTGCCCTTTATCCCTAAAACTAAAACCCTCAACCCCACACCCTAAACCCTAAACCCTAAACGCTAAACCCTAAAGTGGGCCTGGTTGCAAGCTTCCGGCTTGTTCAGTCCCGATCGGGTTTGACACCAAGCGCGTGCGCGACGTACTCTGGTCTCCTCATATCTTCTGCCCCTGAAATCCAACAACGGTTCGTCAGCTCTTAGAGATACTGTAGAATAGCAAAAGCTTTGGCCACAACACCACGAATGCTCTTCTTTGACTTGACACTTATATGTCTATATATATGTATGTATGTATGTATGTATGTATGTATGTATGTATGTATGTATGTATGTATGTATGTATGTATGTATGTATGTATGTATGTATGTATGTATGTTAATATAAATGTGTTTTTGTGTGCCTGGGTGCTTGGGTAGGCAATGCTTGTTAAAGTGCACACACACATATATATATATATATGAGGATATATATATATATGTATATGTATGTATGTATGTGTGTGTATTCAACTGGTAGCAGAATTGATAATAGTGATAGAGCGCTGTTTTATGTCAATGACATCTCGAGCAACATACCCAAGTTGACGAAACTCTTAAACACAAGAACTTAACAGTCTCCAGATGCCATCGTTTGGGTGCAGCCGGCCTACAGGAACACCACCAGTTTCACTGGTCGTGATTCGGGCATGTGGCGCTTGTCCTTCTCGAGTTTGGCTTGAAAAAGCGTTATTCCAGTACTTGGGGGTTCCTGCGTACCTCTAAGTAGGGTAATGGGCCCCGAAACAAGGATCTGACCAATGATCGCCCCTACTTCTAACCCATGAACCCCTAAGCACTATAGGGGTCGGAATAAGTACTAGCAGTGTTCCTTTATGGCCCCGGTATATTTATACTACAATCACCCTCCAAAACCCTGTTCTAACTATTGAGACCCTATAGTAGCCCGAAACCCAAAACCCTAAACCCTAACCCCGAACCCCATGAACCTCCAAGAACACCACTGACTCAAAAAACTCGCCATGCCCTTTGCAGTGTTGCAACCCAAGAGCCCTCCTTCAGGCCGCCCAGCGTGGGTGAATTCAGCTCCCCGAGTCAGTTCCAGGCGCGCGGGTAGAATTGAAGCTTGATGGCTACGTATGAGTTGGGTTGGAAGTAGCTTAAAGATGATTATAACCACAGTTACCTCACTTATAAGTATCCAGAAACCTCCAAGTAGGATGGTGTGGGCCTTAGGGATGCTTAGGGTGTCAGGCTTAGGGAGTGGTCCCGTCCAAAAATGGACCCTATGACAAATCATGAATCATTGATATGAGGAGGTGGAGCAGCCCTAAACCTAACACCCTGTTTGTAAACCCTAAACCCTAATCCCCAAACCCTATAAACCCTAAACCCTAATCACCCCAGACCCCTGCAAGCCCTACGCCCGAACAGTTCTAAGACCAGAGAACCCTGCCAGCTCCTCAAAGAGCTCCACAGCAGCGCGACTGGCTCGGTACACCTTGCAAAGATCAAGGCCCGGGGGGTGGGGTTTAGTTGGGCTCCTGTTTAGGGTTGGCTGGTTGAGGGGTTTAGGCCAGTGGAAGCATCGAGTCGAACGCCCGGTTTTCGGAGCAGACCTGAATCTGCGAAGCTTGATACGAGCCCGGCGAAGCTTCGTAACCCTCTTACACCGCTTGCCTAAGCCTTACTAGCCCACAAAAACCAATTTGCCTACAATCAATCCGAATCCGAGAGTAGCCCCGCTAAATCCTAAACCCTAAACCCTAAGTCCTCAACCCTAAACCCTAAACCCTAAACCCCCCCGTGTGGGCGGAGGATCCTCAGAGCCGGCTCAAAGATGTCGTGGTCCTCAAGAAGCGTCTTCTGGCTGCCGTGGTGCAGGTCCTGGATTCCCTTAGGGTTTTGGGTTCATAGGGTTTAGGGTTTAGAGTTTAGGGTTTAGGGTTAGGGTTTAGGGTTTAGGGTGTTAAAGTTTAACGTGTACCCTTTGTCCATGTCTTGGGTTTCTTGGCGCGATGCCGTCGGTGGCATCACCGGGGTTTCTTACTGTGCGAGCGATGCTCTGATGTCGTTCTGCGGCACTCCGGTAGCACGGTGTTCCGTAGACACTTCGTCTGCGCAGTCATCGCAAAGCTCTCTTGTCGTCGGCCTGAGGTAAAGTGCCGGAGCTCGGCAAGGCAAAGGACATGTTCAACGAGTACGAGGTGCAGCTGCAAGAGGGAAGTATATAACTTAGGGGTCAGGATAATTGCAGATGTTTGCCTGTTTTGTCGGAACAGGTTGATCTGATTTCTTGTGCTGAACAGGCTTAAGGCCTTCGTCCTTCCCTAAAACTTTTCAAAGTAGCTTAAATAAGGAAATAGCCTTGGACCATAAGAAGAGTCCCTGCAGCATGTTAGGAAGCGCTGTGCTCCAAAAAGCCAGCCGCAAAGCCCCAAACTCCCCAAGCCTTAAGCCCTGGACCCCCCCCCCCCCCCGTTTTGCAGGTGATGAACCTAAGCCCCAAACTCCCTAAACCTTAGACCCCCGTTGTCTTGCAGGTTATGAAGAGACCCTAAACCTTAAGCCTTAAGCCCTGGACCCTAGACCCCCCCCCGTTGTTTTGCAGGTGATGAAGAGACTGAGCCACCCCAACATCATTCGTTGCTACGGCTACTTCTGGGAGTTTCCCTCGCAGTGTCTCTACATCGTCTTGGAGCGGCCTGGCCTCCGAAGGTTTACGGCTTTCAGGGGGCTGCAGGGCGTTTAGGGGCTTCAGGGGTTTTGCGTTTAGGGTTCAGGGTGGGCTCCAGAGGTTGAGAGTTTTTTGGTCTTTGGTTTTGGGAGTGTTCAGGACACTCTACCGATCCCTGGTGACAGTGCAGTGCCTGTGAACGAACAAGATTGCAGGAAATGCCTTTACTAGATAGCTCAAGGGACTAAATGAGGGATCCCTAAGGGGGATTATTGGGGTTATTTGGGGGTTATTAAGGAAGGTGCAAGGCAGGTCCCTGAACACCCAGACAGCGTCGCACGAGAGGTATGCGAATCGCGGTGACCTGCATGGAGAGCTGCAAACACGCCGCTGGGCTGTGAGTCAGGTGATTGGTGCATTCAGGACAGACGTCGAAGTCTGCAAGATGAAGTCTCTTCGCTTCGCGTCCACGGAGAGCCCCAGTGATTCCAGGCAAGCGGCTTGGGAAGCACTTCTCGGACAACGAGGTCTGGGACGTCCTGGCTCAGGCGCGCCGTGCAGTGACCGTGGCACCTAGCGCCCAGCAGGCTCATCCAAACCTCTGCTGACCCGAGACAGCCAGACCCTAAAAAGCCCTAAACTGAAACAGAGGTCCGAGCCGCTCAGACTTAACTTCTGCGCAGCTCTATCGCTCTGTCATTCAGTCCCACAGTCTCTACAGCAATAGACATGTCGGACACGGCACTTGTTATTCTCACAGGGGCTTTTGCGGATCAGCAGGAGTGTTGAGCACAGATTTCTGCGGTGAGACACATCGAGTCGAGTCATTGACTACTGGCAGTAGTCTCACAAAGTGCGGCGACCCTCCAGCTGCAGGAAGTAGGCGAATCTAAGGCGAGATTCAAGGGATTCTACTGTCCGCTCAGACAGTCAGACAGACTCAGGCAGACGACTGGCCAAACCCAGAACTAGTAACTAGTCCGCTTCCGATTTCAGAAGCCCTGAGAGCTCCTGTGTGTGCAAGAGGTCCTGCGGGGTTTGCGCCACATTCACGCCCGCGGCATCGTCCATCGCGACATCAAGCTCCCCTGCAGCAACTGGAGCAAGTTTGGGAAGTTTGGATCTTTGTCGGGGATCTCAGCTACAGAGGAGGGACTGGGACTCCAGCATCCGACCATGTAAGTCTGAGTGCAGTATGTTTATGTAACTGCAACAACCTGTGCAGTTTCATAATGACCAAGTAAGTCTGAGTGCAATGTAAGTCTCATTGAGCGTGAGAGTTTTTCTGAAGCTTGTTTTGGTGAGCTTCCGTCGGTTTGTCGATCCTCACTTTTCGCATGCAATGCATCCTGGCAGCCACCATGTCGTGGAAAGGGCTCTTATACCATCCCCGCAAATGCGGTGGAGGTATTGACTTACTTCTGGATATTTGCCACGATTAGTATTTGCACCTCATAGTTGCAACACCCTCTACCCTATCGGGCCTATCTGCCGTGCGATGCCAGCTTTGCGGATGATGATTGTTTTGTTGACGCTGGCCTTAGGCAGCCCGCCAATAAGCAACCTCCAGAGGCAGCTCTCGTTCTGTGAGGAAAGGCGCGTGCAGGGCTGCACGTCTGTGCAACATGCGCCCACGCAGCTTCTCAAGAGATGAGCGAGCACGTCGCAGGGCAGCACCCCCCCTTGGCACCAGTCTGTCGACTTGACAACATCCAGCAATGTGTGGAAGTGGTGCTGTTGGCAGACAGTGGGTGGACCCTCTCAGACCTTGGCCTTTCAGACGTGGCCAACGAGGCCTTAGGCCTGAGAGCGCAAGAGGGTGATGCTCTCGACCTTCTGGCTGGAGGGAGGCAGACACAATCATACATCCCAAACCTCGAGGTCAATCTTCTCTTTGCTGACGGGTCGGGAGAAGGACTGAAGTTTAAGGCGGGCAGAGCTTTCAATTCGCCCGCCCAGCTGGACGGAAACATGGTTGCCATCTCAAACCCTACCTCTCATGAAGGATGCAGGTGTGCGCCAAAGTGAGGATGGTGCCTCTCTGTATTGTCGGTCGAAGCTCAATGAAGCTCTGAGTCACAATGTGCCGTTGCATCAAGACCGCACCCTTGCCGAAGAGTTTGCAAAGGTCTGCAATGGCAAAAGGGAAAGGATGCCGAGCCTAAACCCTAAACCCTAAACCCTAAACCCTAAACCCCAAACCCTAAACCCTAAACCCTAAACCCTAAGCAGTCATCAAAAGGTTCTGGAGATGTCTTGGGAGGGTTCGCTGTAAGGACGATGAACCTGCTGCTGAACGACGAGGGCGTCATCAAGCTTGGCGACTTCGGCGTCTCGCGGCAGATGTCCGAGCAGCCCGGCCGCATGCCGTATCTAAACCCTCCACCCTAAGCCCTCAACCCGAAACCCTACACCCTGAACCCTAGACCCTAAACCCTAAACCCTAAACCCTAAACCCTACGTCAGTTCCTTGACATCCAGCGTTTCGGGCTTTTTTGTTCGGTTCCAAGCCTTGGGGAGAGTCGGCGCCGGGTCTTCTTCGGGGAGTTTGCAAGTCAAGCTTGACGGCCCCCCAAAACCAGATGCAGGTCGCACCCCAACCCTAAACCCCAAACCCTGGCTGACCTTCTGAAACACAACATGTATGTATATACATATATATATATTATAACCTCACTTTCGACTATGATTATGATTATGATTATGATTATGATGACTGTTGATGTGATCATCTGTTACTTGTCACTATTCATCTTAGTAGCTGAATGGGTACACCTTACACTTTTGGGGGTAATATAATCCCCTATAGAACTGCAAGTGTACACTTTGGGGGGGCTTGTGAACTCAGCAACGAAGTTATTGTCGTTTATGATCGCTGTTGTTGTTCTTATGGAGGAACACCGTGTGCCTCCACTCCTTCTACGGCACGCCCCTCTACCTGTCGCCTGAGCTCATCGAAGGCGCCAGCGCATGCTACTCAACACCCCTAGTCCGCCCCGAAAAAAATGGGGGTTTAGGGTTTAGGGTTAGAAGCCCCGAAACATCTGTACTCCCTACATAGACCCTGCATAAGCCCTTCCAAACCCGGGGCGCCACAACGCCGGGGCAAATGCCTCCGCATGGGTTACCAGGAATCTGCAAGATTCCTTTATAAGGGGTATTTGCCTGGTTGCCAACTAACCCTAAAGCCTAAACCCTAAACCATAGGAGTCTCCATGGTTAAGTGAGAACGGAGTGTCTGGGCATCTTCGGCCCCTAGGAAACCCCATAACCGACCGTCTCAAGGGCGTTTAGGCCCCATGGAACTTTCTTAGGGTTCCTAAACCCTAAAACCTGAACCCTAAACCCTATAGCGCTTATAGGGCTTATAATAGGGTTTATGGGGCTTATGTAGGACGTAGTAGGGCTGATAGCGCTGATAGCGCTGATAGGGTTTGGGGTTCGTCGGGCTTTGGAGGGTTCCCAGCAGGGCGCGCGTACTCCCGAACGACGGACATCTGGTCGCTGGGCGTGGTGCTCTTCGAGTTGCTCACGCTGTGCCTTCGGCATCCCCGTTTGAGCGTAGGGTCTTCAGTTCTACTTGACATGTATGGTTGTCTTTTGTTGTGGGGCTTTGACTACCATATAGGCTTTTACATAAGTTGGGATGCTAAAGGGTCCTCGGAAGGCGCCTTGGAGTTTGCTCCCAAGCCTTCTGGCAACTGAGGCAGCTGCCGTTTCGTGGGCCCAGTCTCCAGGATGCCGGGTGGGAGTGGTGCTGAGGCACTGAGGCTCACAGCCGTCATCATCAGCTGCTATACATTCGGCTTTTGGCACCGAAGCAAGGCTCTTTCCTTCCAAACTTTGCCGGCGTTCCTTAGGGCGTCTCTGCACATGCGCTGTCAGAGGGCCCCTATAGAGAGTTCTCAAAGTCGAGGACGTCATCGCAGCGGTTCTCCGTGGCCGCTTCGCTCCATTGCCCAATTGGCGGCCGCAGGCACAGCAACGCATGTGTGTGTGTGTGTGTGTGTGTGTGTGTGTGTGTGTGTGTGTGTGTGTGTGTGTGTGTGTGTGTGTGTGTGTGTGTGTGTGTGTGTGTGTGTGTGTGTGTGTGTGTGTGTGTGTGTGTGTGTGTGTGTGTGTGTGTGTGTGTGTGTGTGTGTGGTGTGTGTGTGGGTGTGTGTGTGTGTGTGTGTGTGTGTGTGTGTGTGTGTGTGTGTGTGTGTGTGTGTGTGTGTGTGTGTGTGTGTGTGTGTGGTGTGTGTGGTGTGTGCAGTGTGCGGTGTGTGGTGTGCGGTGTGCGGTGTGTGGTGTGTGATGCGTGGTTGTGATGTGTGGTGTGTGGTGTGTGGTGTGTGTGTGTGTGTGTGTGTGGTGTGTGTGTGTGTGTGTGTGTGTGTGTGTGGTGTGTGTGTGTGTGGTGTGTGGTGTGTGGTGTGTGTGTGTGGTGTGTGGTGTGTGGTGTGTTGTGTGTGTGTGTGTGTGTGTGTCTGTGTGTGTGTGTGTTGGTGTGTGTGTGTTGTTGTGTGTGTGTGTGGGGTGTGTGTGTGTGTGTGTGTGGAGTGTGTGTGTGTGGTGTGTGTGTGTGTGGGTGTGTTGTGTGTGTGTGTGTGTGTGTGTGTGTGTGTGTGTGTGTGTGTGTGTGTGTGTGTGTGTGTGTGTGTGTGTGTGTGTGTGTGTGTGTGTGTGTGTGTGTGTGTGTGTGTGTGTGTGTGTGTGTGTGTGTGTGTGTGTGTGTGTGTGTGTGTGTGTGTGTGTGTGTGTGTGTGTGTGTGTGTGTGTGTGTGTGTGTGTGTGTGTGTGTGTGTGTGTGTGTGTGTGTCTCTGGGTACTGTTGGGTACTTCTGTCGCTTTCAAGTCGGAGCATCTCATGCTTCTTGGCCCCACCCTCAAGGCTGAAACGAGGCCTTTTGGGGCTCTTTTATGAGGGGCCGCAGTCCCGAAACTCAGCAAACAGAGGAGTTCACCGACGTGGTCAACTCCATGCTGACCAAGGCACGCAGCTCCCAGTGTCTACGGTGGGCCCTTCTTCCCATCACACACACACCTGAAGTTCGCAGCATGCTGCCCATGCTACGTACTAGCCCCCCCTCTTTCTAATGGGTTTGGGATATCCCCGAAAGAGAAGCCCCGCCTTCCCAGCCAAAATGTTCCCAAGTGATGTCTGAGTGTGGAATGCGGTGCTGAAAACTGTAATCTATGAGTATGAGGTCTGGGGGAGGGGAGGATGTCTCCACTTCAGAAGGACGCCCAAAAGCGGCCCTCGGCAGAGACGCTGCTGCAGCGCCTGGAGCCACTCGGCTTCAAGGAACTTTCCCAAGATGATCCGACAATCCCTTCATTCTCCAAAATAGGTCTGCATCACACAAATCCATCCCGAAGACCCCCCGTATGACGAAATGGAACATGGTTGAGCTCTTTGCTGAGAGCAGAGGGCCCAAGGGGAGAGAGAGGGAGAGCCAGTTTTTCATGTTCTGCGTCGGGTTGCGCCCAGCCACTTCACCAGCGAGCCGAGGTCTTTCGGCAAGCTCTTCCGTCCGAAGGACATCCAAGAGCCCAGGCAGGGGGGGTCGAATGAGCCGTAAATCCGAGTCGAGCACTCATTTGTCAACACAGCTCTCATCCTCAGTGTATATACCCCTACACCCTAAACCCTAAACCCTAAACATAGATGAGCCGAGCTCAAGATTGGAGGTCCATGTGCAAGTAGGCTGCGCCACAGCACGGACAAGAAAGAGGAATGCACTCTTGCCAGGCCGATCGACGCCAAGAAGCCCCCAGATAAGGAAGTCGAGCGGTGGTAGGGGGAGGGGGAGGGAGGGGGAGGGGGTCTTTCTGCAGGCGTTTGAGAAAGCATTCCGAGGTTCTCTCAGAGTGCGCTAAGTGGGAGGCGCGGGCTTGCTATGAATGACTGCTGTAAGGGCTCAGGTGTACTTTAGGAGCTAAGGGTGTTTGGTGTTTATTGTTTATGGCAGGTTTATGGGTTTAGGAGGTGAAGTCTTTGACCTGTGTGGGCTTCGGCTTCCAGCTGACCTGAGAACAGATGTTGCGCGCTGGCACGGCGCTCGCAGGAGAATCGGTCGCCTGCCGAAGTGGCCCGAAACGAGGGACACCAGGCCAGGTCATGCTTCAATATGGGGGGAGGGGGGGTCTGATTGAATTTGAGGGCCTTTTGCTAGCCTCAGGACTTCCCTCAGGCGGAATGTACACGAAAGGAGACCCCCCAAAAGAAGACGAGCCTGCAATTTAGAACCAGCAACCCCTCCCTGTAGCTCGCGAAAAAGACCCGGTCCAGGACTTACCCAGACCCTTCGGTTCGGGTCCAATTGTAGGAAGGGCTTCGGGTCACGTTAGCGTGCGCGGCTCCGCGCGTTACCATTTTTGTTTGTTTGCTGTTTTGCTATGAATTACGGATTATACTGTTTGAATAAGCACTCTGATCGAAATAAGGCGCCGTTTATTGGCTCTTTGGGTCCCTTGACATCTCTGCAGGTTGTGCGCATCCGCTCGAGGCCCAGCAGTGCGGGACCGCAGGTGCGACAGAGTGAATAGGAGGGGGGCAGGAGAGGGGGGAGGGGGGGTTTCAATTACAGCACTTGGAGGTTTGGGGTTTAGGCTTCAGGGTTCAGGATTTTTGGGGTTTAGGGATGTTTAGGGTTCATGGTTATCCGTCAGCGAGCTCCACCTGTAGTGAGAATCAGTCGGTTGCAACCTGATTCGCGGGTACTTATGTCCAGGGTAACCTCCCTTGTCGGTGCCCATCGGTGCCCTATACTTATAAAAGATTATATAAGTATAGCCCATGAACCATCAGGCATGTTTGGCACTTCGGAGTGCGCGTCAACCCTTGTTTTTGACAGCTTTCTGCCGGCAGCCTCTCGAGCCTCTTCTCAGCATCGTGAAATTGACAAACTCCCCGGCCCCAAGCCACGAACTGCTTCCCCAAGCCCGCCAAAGCCTAGAAGCCCTCAAAGCCCTAGAAACTCTAAATATAAACTAGAGTCTAAACCCTAAACCCTACAAACCCAGCACCCTAACAGTAAACCCTAAACCCTTGCAAAACCCTACACAGCCGACAAACCCTGCCCTAAACCATAAACCCCATAAACCCTGTAAACCCCATAAACCCATAAACCCTACAAGCCCTGTAAGCCCTATAAAAACCGAACCCGAAAAACCCTAAACCCCTTAAACCCTAAAAGCCCCAAAAAACCCTAACAACCCTAAAATCCCTAAAAACCCTAAGCCCCCCCTCAAAAGAGCAGGTGAAGCTCCTCGAGCCTGAGACGCCACCTCCGGGCCGCGAGCTGCCGCCCGGTGCGACTGGGCCACTCCATGCGGTCAAGAACCTGCGCGAGGATGGGGGGGGTTTTGTTGAGGGCTTTTGGGGTTTTGAGGGTTTTTGGGTGTTTTTGGGGTGTTTAGGGCCTTTATTGAGGGCTTAGTAGGGGGTTTTTAGGGGGCTTTTTGGGGTTTATAGGGTGAAGGATTGTCTTTTTTTCGTTTTTCGTGAGGCCCGGGCCGCCGTGAGACAGCCCCATGTAAACCTTCTTTCTGAGTCCGATCAGCCCCAGAAACCCTAAACCCAATAAGCCCTAAAGCCCTGAACAAGAAAACCCCTAGAACCCCCAAAGCCCTAAACCCTATATCCCTATATCCCTAAACCCTAAACCCTAGACCCTAAACCCTAAACCCTAAACCCTACCGGGTTCAGGTTTGCCCTTCACTCGATAGGAGCGCTGGGAGCAGCGGCGGTTGGCCCACGCCCCGGCGCCGCTCCTTGGCGCAGGGGATTAGGGGCTTTGGGGTTTGGGGTTTAGGGTTTAGGGTTTAGGGTGGTTTGTAACTATATGGTTTGAGAATTAGGGTTTTAGGGTTTAGGGTTTAGGGTTTGGGTGGGTTTGGGGGCTGTTGATTTTAGGGCTTTGGGCTTCTTTGGGGGTTTCTGGTGTTAGGGTTTTCGGGTGAATAGGGTTTTCGAGCTTCATTGTTTTAGGGTTGTTGGGTTCTAAGCTTAGGGTTCAAGGTTAGTAGGGTTCTAGGGGTTGGGTTTAGTGCACAAGGTTGTGGGCTTGGCCCGCCTGGATTTGAAATGGCTGTCAGCTTGATTGGTCTGTTGTACTTTTGGGTTCCAGGGGGTACGAAAAACCGAGTAAGAGCCCTAAACCCCAAGCAGGTGATGGCACTCAGCATCCTAAACCCTACACCCAATAATCCTGTGAGGTACGCGGTGGAGAGGTTGCAGGGCCGGCCCTCCAGCGTCGGCGAGTTCAACCACCGCGAGCAGCCTGGAGAATGTGATGAAGTCTGGGTCAGCGTAATGTAGGAAAATTAGGGGGGGGGGGGGGGGGGGGGGGTACTTTTTGGATTTTAGGGTTTAGGGTTTAGGATCTAAACCCTGGGGCATCTTGACAGTCGCGTTGTGGCCGCGGCCTTCATGTCCGACTCGCTTTCCACACTCCGCAAGAGGTCTCGACTCTGTGGCATATTACAACATTGACACTGGGAGGTTCCCCCTTATACTAACAGTCCTAAAATAGGGATAAGAGTACCTCCCATTATAATCCCTACTAGGACATAAGAATCATCACAGTTCTCTTGCTTCTAAGGCTGCATAAGGGATCCGAAGTATGTGCCCTAATTGTTATTATTATCTTTACAATTAGTAGTATTTATTATTATCATTATTATTCATATTATTATTATTAGTACTATTATTCTTATTA